TTCAGCGATGGGAGCGTAACCCTTTATTAGATAGCCTCCACCTCTACCATGACTGTGTGAGCAGCCTCTCCATCCCATCCACCATCTCATCTATCAGATTTAAAAAGCTGGTAAAGCTGCAGCCTCTACAAGAGCAGGGGCCCCTGTGGCATCGTCTTCCTTCAGGGTGATTCAAGCAGCCCGAGGCGACGCCTTTGAAGGCGCAGGGGCCTCGCTGGGCCTGGTAGCATGCCAGGGCTGCCTGTAGCGGTGTGCTGCTTTTTTTGGAAACCTGTGCTACAGTTTGGCTCAGCTCAGGGACTTTCTGAGATGCACGCTAAAAAAAAAAACAAAAAAAAAAGAAAAGCGAGCGGAGGGGAAACAGCGGTGAGGGCCCGTCTCATCTGGAGGCTTTGGTGCCCAGGGGAGGAAGGCTCAACGGGATCAGCGCGATGAGGGATCACGCTAATCATGGCTGACCTGGCTCTACGGGACGGAGGCAGACGGGGAGGTAAAGGGCTCATGCATCCTCAAAACCCCAGAGAGAAGCAGCTCACGGCAGCAGTTCACATCCTGCTCAGATGTGTCTGAGCTGTCATGTAATAAAGCGGCGCTGCTTCAGAATAAGTGTCACCATGTGTAGGTGCAGAGATGTGGATTCCTAAAGAACGAGTCAAGGAGCTGGCATGAAAACCTCAACTGGAACATTTCTAGCTGCCCGTATAGTTCTATTATTAAACCTATAGTTTATATAAGTATGTTTTATTTTAAAAAAGATAGCATGATGACATCTTTGAGCTTTTAATTTGAAAGCGTGCCAATCAGCCAATCAGCTGCGAGTCACCGGCTGCTGGCAGTGAGCAGAGCAGACTGAGAATTAAACCGCCACAGCTCCAAAACTACAAGTCGTAACCAAAAAATTCTTTCACCGCGTGAAGCCCAATCTTGTGATGAACAAGCCGACATACTGTGTATCATACATATCTGGTGGCAGGTTAGACTGACCCGCCGTTTCTGATTAACACCAGATGTTTTGGGGCTCAGGTATAATAGGAGAGTTTTGGTCGACACAGTCTAAATCCTACAGAAAGGAAACTCACATCGCATGAACGAGGACAAAAAAGTTATGAAGTGTTCATGTAGAGGAGAAACGGTGAGAAGGAGACGAGATTAACTTCACTTCTTTCTTTTTTTTTTTTTTTTTTTAAATGTATTTGGTTAAAATTTAGCTGAAGAAAAATTCTGGATTTTCAAAAAATTCCTAAAACTTAAACTGCAGCTGCATAAAAAATGGAAAAGATCCTTCCTTACATTTCTTACATTTGGGATTTTTAAGGCAGTTTTTTCTTTTTTTTGTTGAAAAAATATAAAACAAATTGATTTTAAAAAAGCGTGTGTAGATATCTAATCTATATGGGTTTTTGTCAAAGCTGCAGGACGAGTCGCCAAAGAATCTATAATAAGAATCAGCCCGAGGACAAGCAACAGGTTTGCCTCCAGGCGTTTGCACGCTTAATTAGGTTCGAACGGGGTCACAGAGGAGTCAGCAGGAACAGAAGCCTCCACCTGTCGAAGCTCCTCCAGCACCAAGGTGAAGACCCAGAAGTAGAGCATGATCTCCGCGGCTCTGGGGCCGAGCGGCGGCGGGCGGAAGTCCAGCAGCAGGACGTAGGTGAAGAGGCAGAGGAAGGCGAAGTACATGATGACGTTGCCGAGGAAGACGGTGACGGGGGCGCTCCAGAAGCGACGCCAGCGACGCAGCAGGAAGCGCCACCAGACCGAGGCGCAGCTCTGAGCCGCCGGGCCTCCGGGAGGAGAATCTCTGCAGAACACCGAGCGGGAAAGACACTTAAACTGGTTTGAAATATAGTGTATACATGAAAACAGCAGGGTAGTGAGAGCTTATTTAATATATTAGGAATTATAAACACAGTCGTACAGCTGATGTCGCACATTGCTGAACATGCACCAAAAAAAAAAAAAAGCAAAAATCACATACAAAGTGCATTATTTCATTTATTTGTTTGTTTTCATATAACACGCTGTGTGTATATTTTTTTCAGGTTTCTGTGTGTGTTCTTGTGTCTCACTTGTTCACAATTCAGATTCCCCTCGAGGACAATAAAACTGACTCTGCAATTAAAATGTGAATCACTGAAACGCATCCGACTCGTGCACTCGGGCCGAGTCTAGCCGAGGACAGCTTTACTGCCCTCGTACGCCGCGCATTAATGGCGCGCTGTATATTTAAGAGAAGCTAATGAGAACAAGAGGTTTAGCAGTAAAACGGATAAAGGAATGAATTGGGTTGAAGTGAATTGAACTATAATTTAAACTCACAGGGGGTCGTCGTCGTCGGTCAGCAGTAAAGCCTTTTCTGTGTCCAGGCTGTCCAGCTCCGAAAACTGCTCGTTACCGTTTCGATTATCGAGCTCCTCGTCGCTGAAAAACACACATCAGAGCAAAAAGACATAGGGTGACACATCCTTTATCATAATGCTCCTTTTTAAACTATATATATTTTAAATTGTGGGTCTTGTCTTGGTTAATAGTGGCCTTGCTCATCTGTAAATAACACTAAAATCAATAGATGAGGGTTTGAGGTATATTGATGTAACATTTTAATAGAACAAAAAAAGCTTGTTTTTAATCTTTTATAGAAATGTTCAAGTACTAACAATCTTTACTGTTAGCATATGGAGGACTGTCTATTAATTTGAACAAAAAATATGATTTTTCCTGCAATA